CAAGTTGCCCGGGCGGGTCTCGAACCCGTGGGTTCAGGCAATCCACTCACCTCAGCCTCCAAAAGCGCTGGGATTACAGGCTGAGCCACTGAGCCCGGCCAAGAATTGCCTTTTTTTAAAAAAAATTTAAGGATGTAGGTATACAATTCAGCATTAAATATATACATGTTCATCGTACAGGTAAAGTTTGGGTCTCACTCTGGTCCCCACTTCACCTGGTTTGAGATCAGGTACGCTTATTGATGCGAAGTGTGCCACCCTCCCTCCCTGCTTTTTTTTTTTTTTTTTTGAGTAGTAGGCTCATTCTGTCACCCAGGTTGGAGAGCAGTGGCACACTCATGGCCGCCGTATCCTCAACTGGCTGGGCTCAGGTGATCCTTCTGCCTCAGCCTTCCAAGTAGCTGGAGCTACAGGTGCGTACCACCATGCCCAGCTGATTTTTTGGTTTATTGTAGAGACGAGGTCTCACTAAGTTGCCCAGGCTGCTTTCAAACCCCTGGGTTCAGGTAATCCTCTCAGTTCAGCCTCCCAAAGTGTTTGGATTACGGGCATGAGCCACCGTGCCTGGCGAGAGTTGCCTTTTCATGCTAGCATCTGTGGGTCTTGCACCCCCACTCTTACAGCACCATGTGGGATGGATACGCAGGGACATTTGTGGATGAGTGAATGAGTGGTCCAGTGGTGAGTGAGCAGTGATGAGCAGATGCTGTGATGCCGTCTGCCAAAATTGAGGGCAAGTTTATGGAGGGCAGCAAATCCCAACACTCAGCTGCCTCCCGCCGGCCTGCTCAGTATAATTGGATTTTTTTCCCACACAACTTGAAGCTGTTTCCAAAGGAAAGTGGCGAGAAGAAAGTAGCCGCCGTATTGGTTCAGCAGTTCTTAATGCTTTTGAAACTGACTGTAAGTAGACCAGGTGAAGAGGCTTCTCTTCATCATTATTGTTATTCCTTAGGCAATCTGAGTCTATTTTGGGGGGTGGGCACAGTTTAGTAGGTGGGAGGGGAGAGTAAAAATATTTGGCAGTTGCTGAGATCAAGGCGCTAAGCAATCAGAACAGACTGTGGACACAGCTGGTGAGGCTGCTGGACTCCTGCTAGACAAGATGAGCCCTGCACATGTGGGGGCAAGAATAGCAATTACCAGGCTGGGCGTGGTGGCTCATGCCTGTAATCCCAGCATTTTGGGAGGCTGAGGCAGGAGGAGTGCTTGAGCTCAGTTTGAGACCAGTCTGGACAACATAGCGAGATTTCATTTCTACAAAAATAAAATTAGCTGGGTGTGGTGGTGCACACCTGTAGTTCCAGCTACTCAGGAGGCTGAGGTGGAAGGATCACGAGAGCCCAGGAGGTTGAGGCTGAGCTGAGATGTGATAGTAACACTGCCCTACAGCCTGGGTGACAGAGTGAGACTCCGACTCAAAAAGAAAAAGCAATTCCTGTTGTCACCAGCTCACTTGCAGAAATAGATGCATATGAGATGGTATGTTGTACCAGAAGACTTCACATACACATGACTTCCCAAATTCCAATGGGCCGGGCTCAGTGGCTCAGCCGGTAATCCTAGCACTTTGGGATGCTGAGGTGAGTGGATTGCCAGAACCTGTGGGTTCGAGACCAGCCTGGGCAACTTGGTGAGACCTCATCTCTACAATAAATAAAAAAATTAGCAGGGCGTAGCCTGCTAATTAGTAGCCTGTAGTTCCGGCTACTTGCAAGTCTGAGGTGGAAGGATTGTGGGAGCCCAGCAGGTTGATCCTGGGGTGGTGGTGAGCATGCCTCTGCACTCCAGCCTGGGCGATGGAGTAAGACTCCAACTCAGCAAAAAAAAAAAAAAAAAAGAACAATGACTGTGAAACACTTTTACCAAGTTGTTTTAGTGAACTGTAATATAAGCCCAGAGAAACAGAGGCTAATGTCACTTATTTCACAGCTAAGGAACCTGTCACTCTACTGAAGTTTAAATAATTCACTTAAGGACTCCTGGAAAGAAAATACAATCTGGAATGATAAGTTAGCTCTTGGTCTCCAGATTCAATAAGATGTTGCCTCTAGCAGGGTCTTTCCCTGGGACTCAGAGGGGATCTTCAGGGTCTCATTATGTGGCCC